CGTCTGCAAGCACCACCCACTTCTCTAGGGAGAACTTGTCCCGCGCAGCAGGTTGGTGCACAGGGCAACCCAGCTCCCCAGGCTACCAACCGCTTGGACTGAAGCGGCTCAGTCGCTGGGCAGCCAGCCTGCACCCACACCAACACACACAAAGCCCTGGAGCGCGACCCACAGCCGCCACGGCCTGCCTGCTCCCCTCCCCACTGCCCGTCCCATCGGGAGCACCAGCGCGGGAGGCGGGAGGGCTGTCCTGGCAGCCACTCGTGGCCTCCTCTGGGATGTGGCAGAATCACAGAAGGGTTGAGGGTGGAAGGGTAATTGCAGCCAGAAGCCTCTGCAGCCTCAGCAGTCTTGGCAGGTGTTGGTGCCTGGAGTTCACCTAGTCCAACCTCCCTGCACAAGCAGGGTCATCTAGAGCGTGTTGCACCAAGCTTGGTTCCTCGCTGTCTAGCATCCTCTTTTGCCAATGGAGAGACCAGCACTACTGGAGCACAAACCAGGTGGTTTTATTTTAGATGTCTGTGCTAGGTGAGTCATTCCCCAGAGTGTCCGTGTCCCTTCGTAGCTGCAGACACTGCCCAGAGCAATGAGGCCAAGCACTTGGGGCTCTGAACACCATGGCAATCCAAGCAGCAACCTAGGAAGTTATCTAGAGCTGATCTGGAATTTGTGTGTATTTTAGCAAGGCAGATGCCAACCAAGTGCATCCTTTCCTGAATGTGTCTCTCTCTCTCTCTCTCTCTCTCTTTTTTCTTCCTTAGCAGCCAAAGGAAGCATCCACTCTTCATCTAGCAAAGAACACAAATTAGCTCCAAGTGCAAAGCAGCTCCTGGCTACAAAGCTCTCAGCAAGAGTAAGTAACTGCCTATGAGCTCTGTGGCAGTGGTGCAGGGGACACTCGATCGGGCTGGTGTCCTCCTTGGCCTGTCCCACATGGGGGCTTACAGAGGTGCTCACAGAACAAAATCCTGGGCTGAGTAGGGGCCCTTTTTTTTATTTGCCATTTCTGTCCCAGACATGTTCCCTGCAGGAGGAGGAGGGGTTTTTAGACACTAAAATAAGCAGCTGCGTGCCGCCCAAGGCCTGTCCTCGCTGGCACACAGCTCCCTGCTTCTTTCTCAGATCCTCTAGCAAAGCTCCACATGAGCAGAGCCTTTGAGCAGGCAAGAAAGCGCCCTGGGCTGCAGCAGGGTGCCAGTCAAGTGGTGCTTGGGGGCTTCCCGAGCGCTGCCGTGCTGCTACCGCAGCAGCAGCGTCGCTTGGGACTAAATCCCTCCCGCCTCGCGCAGACCCTGCTCCCTGCAGCCGGCAGCCTCCCCCGTGCCCCACTGCTTAGCAAACACACCCAGAGCTGCCCCAGCCCCGAGGGGTGGCAGCCCAAGAGCAGCACCAAGGACAAGACAGCAGCCACCACCGCATGGTGACCCAGGAGGTACAACCCGCCCCCGGCTGCAGCAGCACCCGGATCCAGCAGCGCACAGTCAGGGCACAGCAGCCTGCAATAGAGACATCAGAGGGAAAGGGCACCAGGGACTGGGGCTGATTCCCCCATGCTGAGCGGGAAGTGCTTTAGGGAAATAAACAGCCTCACCAGGAACTGGGAAGTGGATGCTCCAAAGAGACTTTATTTCTAGCAGAAATTTCTTCCCTGTGGCGCTGATTTATTAATAGGTGTGTGGAGGGGGAACGCTCTCCTGCTTACACACTAAATATCAATTTGGCAGCCAGTAGCAAATCCCATTAACTGAGACGCTTAAAGGCAGCAGCAGCTCCTGGCCTGCTACAGGAGCGAAGAGGCAGACGCTGGTTACGTACATCTGAAACTGGTCACATCCAACTGGAAGGGAGGACTTTGCTGAGCTAGATATTAATATTCTGCAAAGGCAGAGATGAGAATAAGCTCATTCATTAAATAACTTTTTCCATATCCAAAGGACCAATGCAGGATTGCGATGGAGGAAACAGTGGCAAGAAACCCCTCTATGAAACACCTCATGTATTTCCCTTCTAGGCCAAAAGAATCTAATTCACATGCAGCCCATGGTGTCTGACCTTTTCTGATTAGCTGATTAAAGCCCTGGCTAGCTTTTACTTTTTATGGATTATAAAGGTGGAAGGTGAACGAGCAGAGGCTAAAACCAGATCAAGAATTGCCTCTGTGGATCTGTTACAGTCCGGCTGCAGATGCTATTTGCACCAGCCCTGTTTATTTTGCTGATCCTGGAAACCGTAACAGACACCAGTGTGGCAGGTCTGGGAAAGCTCGGCGTGCATCTGCTGTCACCAGAGAGGAGACGGGCAGCTTTCTCCCCGGCAAGGTCAGGCTGCGATCACAGGCTTGCTCTTTTAACAAGCCTCCCTGCCGCTCTGCGCTTGGCAGCGCGGGCTGGGGCTGCGCACATGGCCCGTGCAGGGCACATGCTCTTGCACGTATCACTCAGGAGGCCAGATCCCTCAGAAAGGGAGCAACGAAGGGGCAGGCTGCAAAAATCGCAGCTCTCGGCAGAGTTGTCCACTGCTGCTTGGCTCTCTCTGCTCTCTAGTGAGCTCTCACAGACCAACTGCAATAGCAAAACATTTGAGTGGAGGGAAGTTGTAATTCCTACCTGTGTTGCTGCTCAGCCCTGTGCCACTCACTCCAACTTCCTCCTTTTCCTTCTCCTCTGCATCCCTGAGAGGGCGATACCATACCATGCCCAGTGTAGTAATACAGAGATTCACCTCTGGAAAACAACCTGCAAGAGCTAAGTGTTATTTATTGGAGAGAGGGAGCACTGTCCTGCAGTCACCACCTGCGTTGGTGTTGGGTGCCCAGAGCCAGCAGCATAGCCCAAGACCCAGCGTGGCTCCCAGATGAGCCCCATGCCCATGGGCACCTGGACCTCCACACCTGTAGGGTCCACCTGAGAACAGCCCAAGAACAGAGTTGCTCCAGGCTTTGACTTTTCTGCACATACTCCAGAGGTTAAAATGAGAACTGTGGTATTGAGATACTGGAGCCCCAGCTCCTGGCAACGCTGCTTTCTGCTGTGGGACAGTTCTGTCAGAGCAAATCTTTTGCTTTTTCTAGAACAGGCCACAGTGCTCATGCTAACCCAGTCAGTTCTCACACCACCACGGCAGCTCCCTGCACTAATACTGACTGGGCAGAGGAGCACTCAATCCATCCAAAGCTTTGAGAACCTGTCACACCGCAGATGAAAGCAGAGCTTGGAAAGAGGGGGAGCTGGTTCTCTTCTGAATCTCAGCAACAGAAGAGACACCTGGACAGGCAGCAAGCCAGTGTGTACCAGAGTCTCTCTTGTTAGATAAATGACAAAAAGCAGACAAAAAGACTGCTCAAAATACACCCAAACATGTATTACTCAGACATCTTCCCCTTTCTCCCTGCTAAGCCGCTCATGGTAGTTTACCAATTCAAGGACAAAAAAAAACATCTTTTTTTTTTCCTGATAATTTCTCTATGCCCTCTCTTCTACCAGAAAGCTCCTTGCACCAGATACAGACAGAGCCAATCTGTATTTGCTGAAAAAAGAGCTCACGCATTTCAGAGAACAGCTTCCAAATCCGTACCCAGAATCTTGCATGTGCAAATGCACACATGCAGACCAGCCTAGCTGCCCAATTCTGATGCATAAAAACTCACTTATGCTTTTTCTGCCCCTTTGAAGCCAAGTATGCGTCTCAAGAAGGAATCTTTCCCTAGAAATATTTGGAGGACGCAGCACCAACCCTTGCCTACAGAGAAGGGCCTCATCGCTACCAGTACTGACTGCCCGTGAGGGCTGCAGATTTCAAGCAGGCAGGGAGAGTGCAGAGCACTTCTGGAAATTACCTTGCTGCTTTCTTCTGCAAAGTCAGATGTTTTTTGCTCATGGCCAAGTGACCCTGGCAGAGTCCATTTTAGAAGCCAGCTTAATGACACAGGCACAACTACTGGACAACTCGACTCAAAGTGACTTCCGACTCCAAACTGTTCTTGTAGGAGAAACTGGTACACATATACCAGAAAATTGTAAGTTTGGGGGCTTATTCTGTTATTCTGCTTGTTTCCTGTGAGCTGACCAGAAGATATACGACATCAAACAATTCGTTAGTTCATCAAGTAATTACTCTTTTATCAAGTGATTTAAAAATATAGATATCTAACACAATAATTTAAATTAGAAAAAAAAATGTGATGATGCTTGACTTCAGACTGCACCAACAAAATTTAGGGCCTAGTCATTTGGATCAGTATCTCACATTTGCAATCACTTGAACATCTGTTTTGAATCTCACACAACTATAAAGCAAACACCCCATTAAAAACTGGGAGATGTTTCGTTACATCCCTATCTCTTCTCAGCTGCTGTATCATTTAAAATAATTTATTAAGTCTATTTGCTCTAAAAAGACCAGAAATGGAAAACACACTCTAAAGGCACGCACTAAGGTGGCTCTGACACAACTTGTTTACAGAGGTCATTGCTGCTTATGGAATTCTGATATGCAATGTCCATCCACAGGCAATGAGATATAGGCAATGCCTTCTAGGCAGCTAGAGAGTAGAAAACCCATCAATGCTGTAATGAGTCTCTTGTTCAGCATTCCCTCCCATGGCAACGAATGCAGCGGGAAGCGGCTGAGCCCCTGTGGGGCCATGGGCTTTAGCTCTAAAACCACTTGCGTTTCCTGTGGACTGGATTCTTTCTGTGGACTGGAGATGGGCAATACCCCTCTCTCTGCCTTGCAGTGTGCTCAGGTCATCGCTTCCTCTTGAACTCTTGCCTCTGTCCTTCGCATGTTAAATGTTTAGGGCTGCAGCAGATACTACCAGGACCATTTCTAGACCAAGCTACTGACTGCAAGAGGGAATGCCCCCTCTCCCTCACCTTCTCTGGCCCACTTTGGGAACTGCAGACCAAGCCCCAGTTTAGCACTGTTGCTTTACTCATAGTGATGCTGCTCTTACTCAGAGCAGGGCATGATGTAAAAAAGTGGAAATATGTTAAGACTTGTTCTGTTTTAGTACATGAAAGCTGCAAAAATAACTATGTGTACTGTAATAAGAGGTTGATTGGCTGTTATGTTGATCAGCAGGTGCTCTTTAAAGAAAGCACTTCTGACCAGCTGCAGCCTTAATTGAGGCCAATCAGGCCATTTGTTTGAAGTGCTCTGCTCGCACAGCTCTGCGGTTAGCCTGCAGATGAAGTTGAAAGCATCAGTCCTTTGGGAGGAAGGAGCACACCCAGCACCCGAAGCCTGCGCTGTGTGCGTGGCTCCACCCCACGGGTCCATGCAGGCTCTTGTCTAGGACTGCGGGGTCTTGCTCTGAGACTTTGTCGAGACACCGCATCTGTCTGGCACCTTCTGCAGCATGGCCCTGGCAGGCAGGGGCCAAGCTGCATTCGCCAGCCCAAACCTCTCCGTGTTTTCTGTGGATGAGCACACCACTGGTTGGTGATGGTGGATCATCCTGGGCACGCTCTTATCCACGGTGGGCCTGGGGAAAAGAGAGAATTATTAAGGTGAAATGGCACTGTGAATCTGGATGAAAGCTGAAGCAAGAGCTTGCAGGCCTGGGAGCTGCCTGGGGCACAGCCTCTTCCCACACAAGGCACATGCTCAGTGTGTACACTGCATGTGTATGCCTCACCACACTGTGCTCGGGTAAAATCAAGAAATTAGGACTCTTCAGTTCTAGGTCTTCAAAGAAGTAATAAAATGTAAGTCTTACAGGGAGAAGGTCCAATTCCTACAGTGAGAAGGTCCAGTTCTTACAGTGAGAGGGCGCAGGAAGGTTTATGTGCATATGATAACTTAGCTAATAATCTACATTATTTTCTAGAGGCCTCTATTTTCCAAAGTTCTTTCTAACATGAATTGATGCCAGTTTGAAAGGAAAAATTAGAGTGGCATGTTAGGAATTGGTTCATATTTGCTCAAGGAGACTCTTGGAACAGGTACCACTGGATAATGGTCCTGCATGGGAAACATGAGTGGAGTAGAAATGACACATGGAGATTCTGTTATTTAAGAAAATACAGTATTTCCAACATTCAAGCTATGAGTAACATGAGCAAATGTTTCATTTAGCTTTAGAAGAACATACATAAAGGCCAGCATGAATTAAAGGAGCTCTTTTTGCAGAACAGGCAGGAGGTTCCAGAGACAACACAGAAGTATGCTTTTTCCTGCTGTGAAGTCCCTTCTGTTTTTACTAGACATCCTGTTGGGAGAGCTGCCAGCAGCGTGCATACCTGACACTTTTTGATCCAACAGCTGCTGGTCCTGAAATAGGTCTCAGCCTGCCAGTGCTCCCACCAGGCTGGAGCTGTCCCTGTGATGGGGAAAGGAAGGCCTCACACACAGCAGGTGCACTGTGCAGGCTCAGGAGAGCGAGTTCCTCGCCCAGAGGCTCAGCTGAAGTTTCTTGATAAGCCTTTGATCGGCAAAGCTGCATCCACTGCCTGTCTTCTTCTCGGCTGGGTATTTTTAGGCATCTTACCCTGTGGTTCCTCATTTTCCAAGGTCTTGCTGCAACATCTGCTCGAGATGCAGGCAAAGGGCTTTTTGGAGGAGAAGGAATTAAACAACAGTTTGGGTTGGAGAACACTGTCCGTTCTTGAGCATGCAACGAATCTGAAAAATTGGGAAGGACAGTGATTTACAGTCTCACCTCACTCCTAAACTGACCCGTGAGCAAAAGGCTTTAGCAAACCCGGTGTGATGGAGCTGGGTGGGCAGCTATGTCCCGTGGCACCCAATGATGCCATCCTTGTTTGATTGCTTCCTCTGGTAGCAAGGGATTTTGTTGCCCTGCTGAGCTCCCTACCAGCGCTGCTGGTGATGTGACTGCCAGGCATGCAAATAGCTCCCGAGCTGTGCACACCTGCTTGGTCTCACCCACTCTCCTGCCCCAAGGCCGGACCTGCATCACTCCTGACCGGCGTTTACCTAACTTCTTTTAAATGCCTGAGGACCCTATCCAGCTCCCTGAAGTTCAAGTGAAAAGCCAATCACAGATTAGCAGAACTGCCTTTTTATCAGATGCAGAGGTATAGGAATAAAGTTTTGAGATTAGACTTAAAATTAAAGAAAATGCTAGAATGTTGGGAAAATATTTTCCTACATACAGGAACAGCAGTCTACCTGCTCTTCCTCTGGCTGTTCGGATTTTAGCCATGGAAATGCTCAGATGCAACATAAGAAAAAAAAAATCTTACCACAGTCTTATGAACATAACACATACATGAATAAATCCTTAAAATCATTCTCTATATAGCAGGGATCCAATTGCTGTTGTCTATTAAAAGAACTAACTGTACCTAGCTGCCTAATGTGCAGAGTACATGGCAGGAACACAATCTAAAGAATGTTTTGGGAGTAACGGTGCCACCAAAGCACAGGGACAAAAAATTCAGTTTTCTCCCTCCTAATTGATTGAGATGTATTTTACTCCTTAGGAAACCACATACATCTGATAGAAAATTCACAGTGAACACTTTCTACCATACTATATGCTTTTAAAATTTCTAAATTTGAGGATTTTTTTTGTTTTTGATAAAGACACACTGAAAGATTAGCATACCTGATTCAAGAGCCTGAAATAACACTTTAAGATTTCTCAAACTGTCCTGGTTATATAGACCTAACCCTACAAACACTTTTAAATAGTAATACTTAGATGATTTTTTCTTTCCTTAAATACTCTTATAAGTCTTGCACTCCAATACAGTCTCAAGGCACAGAGGCAATGTTAGGAACAGTTATGTTGGTGAACAAAGTTATGTTCTTAACTGTCTTGCTGAATAAACCTAATGTTGCATCAGGTATTTGCTCCCCCAAATATGTACATCTGTCAGTAACAGTGGACATCAGCAACCATGTTTGCAATCATCTGTATAAAACTTGATTATTTTGGCCAGTTACTAATATTGTAACCTTTATCAATGATTGCTCTACAGTACAGGAACCAAATCCCACAGAACACCACAGTTCTGTGAGAGGTTTCTCTGAGAACATTATATGATGTCATCCCTTCTCCAGGGACTGGTACCTGAGGATGAGTGGGAAAGACTGGAATGGAAAGAATCAAGTGAAATCCTTTCAGTTAGGTCCTCATCGTAGGGCTCTCTCAGAATATCTTCACAGTTGTCAGGCAGGCTACAGTCTTCATCCTCATCCTCATCGCTAAGAGTTACCTTCAGCACTTGAGGGGCCTTTTCTTGCTGAACCATTTGCAGGAACCTGAGCAATATTAAGCATTAACCTTTAGTTAGCCTTTCAGTTGTGAATATGCAGTAAGCCGAGTGTAGCTTGGCAAGTAGCAGGACGGTGCATTTAGTCACACCCAGTTATTTTCCACTTACCTGGAGATATATGAAAGATCATTATGACTGCATCATGTACCTAAGCTGCCCATGTCTGTCTGAAAGTATCCTTAAATTAACCAGTGAAATGGGACAGATACTATGCAGTGAAACATCAGAGAAATAAAGTCATTTTCATTTCTAAAAATCTATCCTTTACTAGATGGGGGGGGATCTCAACCTGCTGTTCGTTTTCCTTTCAGCCTTTTGACTGCTACCCAGAGAGCAGCCATGAAAAGCAGAAGACTATTGTGCCCACAAGGTGGCCTGAGACAAAGACAGCAGCAATCTACTGGTAGACTCCAGAGGAGACTGCATGAAGGCCAGGTGTGAGTCTTCCTACCCATAAAGTCAGGCAAGCTGATCAGGAATAATCAAAAATGACCTAATTCTACTTCCCACTGAAATCCATAGCAAAGTTTTCATTTGGTAAGGCCAATGTGATGCTTCTGAAAATCCTCCTCCTTTCTCACCTCTTTTTCTATCCAAAGGTAAGAATGGATGAGTCCAAGTGACTTCCTTGCACTCTAAGGAGGCACACTGCCTAAGTTAGTCTTGAGCCTGCTCTAGAGAGAGGGCAGAATTTCGTGTTTTTTTTTTTTTCCCCCTGCCCACCCCACAGATATTCCTGCAGGAAGAACTGCTCCGCTGGCTCTGCCTGCAGAGACAGGGAGGCAGAAGATGAAAGGCTATCCCATGAAACCACCACCAGATGGCCAAAGAGTTTATTTTATTATTAAGGCGGGATAGGAATCCCTGTGTTACTGCATGACAGTCTACAGCTCTCTCACCGTTTATGCTTTTCTCTCCATTCTCCCAGTTCAAAGAAGATATCTTCCTGGCCTACATCTTCAGAGATATGAAGGTATTCTCCTCTCAGGCTGCATAGTTTGAAAGGGTCCACTGCAGGCGGCTACAAAATAACAGAAGTTGTCTTGAGAATCTCAGAAACTCTCTCCAGATCAGTGTCTAGGTTGTGGATTGTGGAAAGCAAAGTTTGCCGTTTCTCTCACTTCTTCACATCACTCCTCGCTATTTACTTGCTTTTCACTTTAAAGAAAGCTCTGTGCCTCAGTCACAACATGCACCACTACACTTGCAGGAACCCAGAGGAGGAACTTAGGGTGGTCAGAATGAAAGTCTTATTTATACCCTACTGTTGTATAGTTCTCCTTTAAACAAGCCTGAGTGTAACATTTACACTAATATACGTATTAAGACCGTAACACAGAACTGATGAGTTCTCTTTCACACCCTACTTTGTAACACTCTATAACTCAATCAAAACTTCAAATTTGTTTCAAAAAAAAAAAAAAAAAAAAAAAAAAAAAAAACCTTCCAATGTTTGGGCAGTGGCAAAAGGTGGTGGGGGGGAAAGGGGTGTCACACAGTCATACTTTTAGCATTTGTTGTCAGCATTAAGCAAAGTGGCATGTAGCGTGATGCATGCGCCCTATACATGCAGTTTCCTTGATACAGAAGAGAATAAACTTTGGCTTTATATTCATTTAGTCAATAGGAACAATCCTGCAGCACTAGCAACTTCAGCATTTATGCTGACATCAAAGGAACACTGCTGAAAAATCTTTTGCTTAGTAACTGTTATACAAAGCCAGCCAAATCTTGCAATCTTGCCTTGTATTTTGTTCAGGCAAGATGACATAAAACATGCCACCAACAGCTGATGTGGTTTTCACGTGTTTCTTTTCAGTTGATGTTCTTATTTCCCTCTGATGAACGAAGCAGTTCTCCCCACTGTTTACACATCTATGTTTCCAAACAGAGATTGCAGACAATACCTGCTGTTATTTTATTCAATGACACAATACGGTTGTCAGGTTTTGGCTGACCCTCCTCTCCCAGATTTCTATTGCCCTTCTCAGACAAGAGGCACGGAGCACTTCCACCTCCCTCAGGTAGGGCAGCATGTCCCTCAGCTACCTGCCTTCCAGCTCATGAATCATTCAGCGTTTTCTCCGGTTCTCAGGATCACCAAGATCTTTTCATCCCACTACCTTCTATGACAAAGCACAAGGGTACCCAGTGCCTTGGATCCCTCCTATTCTCTTCCTGTAATTTGTTCATTTTTCTGGATTTGGCCTTTTTGCACTAATTGCCCCAAATGTGCATTTGGGGAGCTCATGGCATGTGTGCAGTGGAACACAGAATGGAAATCACACTCTTCAAGGCTCATGCTCTTCAAGATCCCACAAACCACAGTGGGAACTCAGTTTATCACGGGGTTTACGTAGGTGGCCAGCCAGAAACAGGTAGTATATGAGAAAAACATACATCTAGCTTTTGTCTCCTTGCACGAAGGGCCTTGATGGGGTTCCCACATATAACTTGACTGAGTCCTAAGAAGAAAAGGAACATAGAAAACACTTTACTCCAGTGCATAGCAAATTTTGCAGTCTTTGAAATCAGTCAAAATCACTTCCCAAATCTAGGAGGATGCAATATTTCACTGTATAGGTTCACAGTCTTGACTGAGATGGCCTGATGCTGCTCGAAGGAGCAGCAGTTTCTCTGTTTCTGCCAGAATCTGTTTTCTTCTGCTCCTGCCCTGACTCCTTCCACTGTGTTAGCACAAATGCTTGCATAATCAGATAACAGATTCAAATCACAACTAAATGTGCCTTTTTAATTTTGCTAGGTTGTTTTGCAGCTGGATCTCTACCATAATCAAGTTCTCCATGCGGTCATACTTGTGCCAAAACAAGAGACAAGGTAACAAAGGCACACAAGGAAAGAGTGAATATTTGGTGGAGCCACATCTTTTGGTAGAGTTAGCTGACCGAAAGTGCAGTTTCATTCCCTGGCAGGCTGGATGCTGTTCCCTTGCACTTTTCTGAAAATGTACTCAGTCATCAACACTGCATTACTTCATCAGATCCACACTGCCAAGTCCTACCTACAGGGAAAAACTGATGTGGGACTGGCGTTTAAGGAGAAGCAGCCCACAGGGCTAGGAGAGGAAACACCATCTCCCCATCTAACCTGCACCCAGAGAGCTGATGCAATTACAGAATGAAGGCCTTCCTACGCGGCAGGCAAGAATGTCTTGGGAAATCTAAAAACACAAGTGACCTCATGACCTCCCTTCCCACCTAGCTGTCCCCAGGAATTCAGAGATCAGCTTCCAGAGATATCTTTGCTTTCCACTTTAATTTCCTCGCCCTTTATCATGCCTACCCTGTCATCTGCTATGAGAAGTGCAAGGGGGCAGCTATTATAAGTTTTCTCTACAGAGATCCTGAAGGAGCCAAGACAGCACAGGGCCTCCATCCTCACCCCTGTCTGCTAACCTGGCAGTACTCCCAGGTGGCAGAGCTAGATGGCCAGGGCTCAAAGTGCAGTGGCACAATTGTATTTGGGGCTGGCCTTTTAGGTCAGGTATGTGAAGTCAAGGAACTGGCTCCTCTCACTGAGAGAGGGCCCTTCTAGAGGACTACTTTCTCTGTGTGATTGAACAGAGCGTTCTCAGATTTTCTCATCTAAGTTACATTTGTGAGCCCTAGCAAGGTTGATGTGTAATTTAAGGTACATCAGGACAGGCGACTTCAGCAAGAGAACACCACTGCAGTATGTGCTTTTCAAGAGACAAAGCAGTGTAAAATGCATAAGGTGGGAATGAGGGAGAGAAAACAAGAAGGCCTCCAACTTACTGTAGGGGAAAATGAAAGAACAGAAGACTACAGGACTAAGCCTCATGCCAAAAACCTGATGTAGCAGCAGCCTAGCTGAGTGATAGACAAAGCCCAAGTTTCCATCAGCACTAATAATACAAGAAGGATGCAGAGGCATGGGAAAGAACAGAGTTAAATATATATATATATATTTTACCATGTGTCAAATCACTGGAATCATCTTCCAGAAAAAGGCCCTCAGAAGCCGTGGGATGGGGAAGAGGACAGCCAGCAGACAGCATATGGGCACTGTTGTCTTGTCCTGCAGAATCGGGCCACTGTGCAGTCCCAGGTCTGGAAGCCGTGCAGGTTCTAGGGCTGGATCCAGACTGCCTTGCTGCTACTGCCCCAAGATACAAACCTGAAAGATTTCACTAGTGTAAGCACTGTCATGCAGGATTTAAACCACACCATCACAGCATACTATCAATATGCGTGGAGCTGCGGGAGAAGGAAAAATGTCATTACTGATATAGGAAACACACCTGAAGCTGCAGTGCTTGCTCATAATACACAAGGTTCCCTGCCCAGTTAAGCTCTAGACACAGCATTATTTGAAGACACTTGGTTAAACTGCAGTGCCTCTCCTTCCTTCTCCTCCTTCCAAACATCAGCGAGCTGCTCCTGCCATTTGAAGGGGTCAGGAACAGCTCGGTGGCCAACAGCAGCAGCAGCCTCAATGGCCCTGCAGCTCAGCCTGGATGTGTCCAAAGCTCTAGTTTCCCTGCCTCTCATGTGCTGCCCACCTGCCCTCACAGCCCCAGGGGAACCACTATCAGTGATCTCCCCCTCTCTTGCCACAGACACAGTCCAAGCTTTAAGTTTTAAAACGTATAGCTTAAGTGCACAGAGACAATGAGATGAGAACAGCCACCTTACCACAGCTGCTGGTCAGTAAGGACAAACCATTGACTGTGAAATTAGGGAAATTTGTGAAATGCAGCGATAGATTTTTTCCAGTGTTGCCTTAGAGATATTTTCTCTACCACAGAAAGAAAGGTGATAATTGAGTTTTTATAAGCTAGAATGGATTATACAAAAGCTAGTGAAAGAGATGTAGCCTTGAATTCTTACCTGCATGACTGTACACAGTTCTGTGAGCAGCATGTGCCAGCTAACATACCATAGGAGGGCTAATCTGCATTTCAGTTCCTAGATGAACAGCTCCATTTAAAATGGTGCTCAGCATCGAAGAGCTCCACCCACAGCAGAGCAATCAGCACTGCAATAATATGGCCATTTCTTTAAGAGCTCCATGTTAGGGACCTTTACAATAACTTAGCCACTGCTGTAAATACAAACCCATGATTTACACATCACATGTCAAGTACCCAAATCAACACTGCTACAGGGAAGAAAAAAACATGGTGATGTCTGAACCTGACCACATAAGCCCTTCAGCTCATTGCTAAAGGCAAAAATACAAGCCTGTTATAGGACAACACAACAAGAACTGAGATTTTTTTGATGGTTCCCTCTTGCTTCTGGTGGCCCACTATATTAACTTGCTTTCTGATCCTGAGCTGATGTTGCCAAAGCAGGATCACTGAAGGATCAGATTTTAATGCATTTTTCTCCTACCATAACTATTATTACAGCTAATGATTTGGGCGCACGGAGATTAAATGACAAGTGTATGTAGTTATTGCAAAATAAACTAAAACTTTAATGGAGTGCAGTTGGCAGCCATACCACAACTGTGGGGGGTCGGGAAGCCAACTGCTTTGCCCACACTAATGGGAAGCAATGCAGCAGTTATAGGAAATACCTTGTAGTATTTAATGGCATGTGGTAAAGTGCATGTAGCATGATATGTAAAAGCATGGACATCTGAACTATGACCGAGGCTACAAGCAAGAGGACAGCAGATTTATTTGCAAACCATTTGCTGTATACTGAGTGCAATGGATTTAATTGCAGAGGCAAGAGAAAAAAATAAAAGGACACATCAAATCTATTATAAGACCACACAACCTCAGTTGCTAGGATGTAGCTGCCATCAAGAGGTGGTGAGCAAACTCTCTTTCCTATTATTAAGTTGGAAATCCTGCTATATTCAAGCTGCATGGGGCTGACTGCTACCATGGAAAGAGCTGAGAAAAGCTGTTGTTGAAGCATTCATGTCCAAGCCTTTGCTTCTTCAGTCATGCTGAATGGATGCCAAGTACCAGATTCCTTGCTAATGTGGAGATTCGCTTGATGCTTTAGAACCCCCTTGCATTTTTCTGATATTGGTACTGAAGTTAGGATTGCTTTCATTTAATTCTGTAATTTCAGCCCAGTTAGGGAAGAAGCAACCAGACTGCAGGCCATCGCGTCTGTATTCCCTGAGAAAATGCAGCAGGTTGTAAAAAAAGACCTCACCCTGCATAGCAGGAAGTATGCAAGATTACTGCCTATATTTAAAGAAATGATGAAAGCTAAAGAATACCAGCAGAGGTGCACAAGAGGCCTTGCTGCTGCCAGGGCAGCCCAAGCAGCCTGACTGCTGAAAAGAGCATCAACCCACCCAAAGTTGTGTGTGACCCCTGCAGAGCCCAGACCTCTCTCTTCTGCTGAGCAAGCCCACCCAGGGCTTGACTAACAGCCCAGTCCACTCTTGGAAGGTCTCCCAGAAGAGAAGCAGCCTCCGTGTTTGTCTAAAAGGTGCTGTTACAAAGGTTTTAAAGTTCAATGGACAGAGCACATTTCAGATAGAAGGGAGCCCGTCGACCTTCTTGGGGTTACAGATAAGCCAAGCACTTGGGTCAGGCTTGGGCACAGGTAGGAGGAAGTGCTGAGCACAGCTGAAATGATTGTACTGAAAGCTGACCAAAGGTTTGAAGTGAAAGCACAAGCAAAGTGATTCCTTCCCTACAAATTCCAACTTTCTCATTTCCCAAGTAAAAAATACAATGTCCTTCCCCTTCCACTATAACTAAGTTGACGCAGAAGAGATCCATTTGCTCTTCATCTTTCTTATTCAAACATCACAGCATGAAAACTGAGTTCAGTAGGAAATGTGACATACCTAACCATGGAATATCTCCAGCTAAATCACCTTCCTTGATGGATTCCTTGATGATTAGCCAGTCCTCACTCATCTTCTTGGAAGGAGGGATAACAGTTTGGCTAGCTGGTATTTCATCCAAATATTCCAAGTGGGGAATGAGTTTTTTCACTTCAACTCTGTAATTATAATCTGGTCCCTGGAAAATTTGAGAGAGTTGTCACTTGAGCAGTTTGTTCAACAGACTGCAGACTTCCATCAGCAACACAGCAGTGTTCAATTTGCATGACTGCCACATAACTTGAAATGTCTCCAAGAGATAAACCTGCTCACCTCATTCAACAGAAACAAATATAGTCAGGAATTACTTTTCATGGTACTTTCCCATGTAATTTCTACTCAAACTGACCGTGAATATGTCCGGAGTAGCACAAACACACCCCTATCCCAAAAGGCTCCTTTGCTGCTTTGTACTGATGATTTCATATTTATCTTTGCTATATCATAAACATTGTACAAAACTGAAGCCACTGAGACCCAAGCAAGCCTGAGCACCCACACCACAGAGCCAACCCTTTTGTCTGGTTTTGGGAGCACATTCATACTTCAACAATAATACTTCATACAACAACAATACTTCAAGGAAGACTGAATCATGCAGTTTTGCAGTGGAAATATTTTTCATTAAAACAGTCTACAAAGGGCAGTAAAAACATTCATGAAGATCTCGCACATTTCTTTTTACTTAAAGACTAAAGCAAGAATGGACTGCTAGTGGCAGAAGATGAATGGACAGCCTCCCTAAATGCTGCCAGCTACCTATAGATCAAGCGTTGGATCCTGATAAATGTTATGTTTCTTACAGTACATGCAATAGTGGAAAACTTGAAAAAGTGAAATTCTCATTTAATATGGATTTATCATAAACCTAAATCTTTCTATGGTAGCTGCACAGCTATACTCTCCATCCCTACATACAATACTGCAATACAGAGCAAATTACCAAGCAAAGCATTTGTTCATTGGCCATTTAGAAGCAGGGGACATGAAACTCTACCTTAGCCTTTAATCCTCATTTAGAAAAGGAGTCAACTATTCCCCATGCTATCACGTACCACATGTACTCTGAACAGCATCTGGGCTCCAGCCAATTTAGAACCATGCCCTGAAAGAAGCATCATGTTTTGCTCATGTTACAAGGGCTGCAGAATTTATCATCAGGCTGTTGCTTTTGGTTTAGATAACAGAGGAGATGAGCTCATATAAAAATCAAATTACAGAAGGCAAGTGGGTAATCTGAAGAAAGCAGTAAATCTAGCTCGACTATTTTGTACATAAAAAAAAAAAAAAAAAAAGAGTGAATAAACAGGAGTGCTTTTACAGAGCTGCAGTATGGGGCACAATAAAACTGGGTGCTTGAGGATAAACCTGGCCACCTAGGTCACATCAATGTCCACATGATTCTTTTCTGTATTTCTGGTAGTTTTTCTATACCCTAAAGAACTGTAAACATAAAATCAAGGCAGTGACAAGGCCCAAGGAGAAGCTCTGAGCAGTCATGTGCAGGCTCTGTAAGTACCCCAAGGCTGAGCAGCTTCCCAGCACAGGGACTGAGTGGGAAACAGCAGTTCATTTACCCTTTTCTTCTTTTATGGCACAAGGAAACACAAGCTACTGTACAGAGTGTCCCCCCACATTCTGGACAGCATCTGAATGCCACTACTTGCCTGAAGGCAGAGGCAGCCATGCCACAGCAGGAGGGCACATACTGCTCCTCCTTGAGGTCTCATTACACCGCAGCATCCCACAGATTCTGATTTCCTCAACTAAACAAATCAAGGGCAATAGTGACATAGCCATATTATGAGTATGTTTAAGGACTCAAGACGTCAAGTGAAAATTACCTCCTCCAAAGACAGGATTTTTGTTGAGCATGCCTGAACAGCAAGTGAGTGAAACAGACTCCTATGCTGTCAGGAAATACCGCACAGTTTTCATGGTAGTAAGCTATGATAAGAAAGTGCCAGAAGCTGTACTGTATTTGTCTCAGTGGGAGTAAAAACAGTAAACAGGCATGCCTTGTCTGTTTGAGGCTGTTTCCTTGCTGTAGGAATATTTGCTTTTTTCCCTCTCATGATTGCATCTTTAGTAAGGGATGAAATGTCAATGTTTTGGTTATAAATAGTTAAAATGTGGTCCTTGACTTAGACTTGTACCAGTTTAAAGTGGGAAAGACAATATATGATACTTGGTTTTGAAATCCAAAGAGGAAGTTATAATAACTGAAGTACTACTTTGTGTCACTGTCTTTATTGAGGGGTATGATCAGACCCAAAAATATATCCAAAAATTGCTAATACACATGTGGATCCAAAAAATGTGAGGATTTTAAATATCTCCATTTCTACTATCCAAATGAGTTTTAGAGACAATACCTCAGTTTTCAATTAAATCTAGCTTAATTAATCCTCAATCCTCCAACTAAATCCTCAGTTTTCAAGCTTAAATCTAGCAGACATATCAGAGGCATCCCTGTATGTGTGAGAAGCTCATGGCTATGACCAGTCAAACAAAGCAAGAAGCGATGGGACATGGCTCACTGGAAGCACGGGGCCAGCTCCTGCTCTGGCTTCTTACCTCTGCAGTATCAGCTCCTTATGGTGCCATTAGGGAATGTGCCATCCTGGGACGGGGCTGTATATTACATACTTATGTCTGTATGTGTGCCTGGGCATATGCCTCATAACCTTCCAGAACACCTTAATGATTATACATAGCACGTTGTTACAAACTACTCTCTGATGATATGTCTGGTGCTATGTATACAAAATGAGGAACAGTCTCATTTGACCAAGCTTCTTAAACTCTAATTTTCCTGATTACTTTTTCAGTAGATGCCAAAACGCTCATTTTTATATCCCAGGATGTTTTTTGAAACAAATAAAAGTGAAATAGAGTAGATAATAGCTTTGAGTCTGTTCATTACATCTCCTTTACTATTTTTGTTGAATGACCTGAACCCCAAAACAGATCATGTATTATTTTGTTTCGATCTTTGTAACACAAGCCATCACACATCCTTACCAAATACCACAAACCTGATTCTCTTGGTTTTGTATGCAAAGAGCAAACAAGTATAGCTTGTATCTTTAGCTTTTAAAAAGGTCTTATTAGTCATTTAATTTTAACCTTTTGAAGGGAAAAGATAACAAGCACTTCCTACTATATAACTCCAAAGTTCTCTTCCAAACTTACCCATTCTGTGATTCGTTACCTGTCCCCTTCCTGAAGAGAAGGGGAAGTAATGTGTTCTTGGGAGAAACAAATGTGTTCTTGAGAAAAACAAACTATTTTCTTCCCGTAAATTAAAGGATCTGAGAAGAAAGCATTTCTGGATAATGAAGAAACCAAAAGGCACTAAGTCACAAATCTTCCAGAATTCCATTTTGTTCTATTACAAATGGAGCTTGGGTGTCCACTGCTGGAGGCCAGGGCTGTCTTAAGACTGGGACAGTCTGAGACCCAGGCTTTTGACTAGCAAGGACCGAGATAGCACTCTCTCTGGAAACAGTGGCAGAAAGAGGACTGAGAAAATACTTTCTTGCTAAAAACAGAGGGCAATAATAATAATGAACATTCAAAACTGAAAAGCCTGGCCTCTAGTTCTTGGTGGCCTAGTGAAGGAGCTAGGCTGATTATTAAAAACACACACACACACACACACACACACACAACAACACACATCAAGAAACAAAAATGCAGTTCTGGCAGATAGTATATCACACAGTTGAATGCCAAGCAATATGTGTGGGAAGTACACTTGAAAGCACAGCTGATTTCTAGTTTAACCCTATTATGAAAGGTTGGAAGATGTATATTGTTTAGGAACAGGCCTGACTCCTCATAGCCCTCCTGGTATCTTATTTGTGCTGATGTGGCAGCCAACAGCCACAGCAATTTATAGAAATGAAAGTCATCCCATGTTATCACTCAGAACAATACAACGGGAGGATGCAGAAACATTTCTCATTTTCAATTCAAACTAAAAAGGCACTGCAAAAATTAACACAGTAAGTTCAAACCAAGTTCTCACCTCTTCAGACTCTGCATTTGGCTTCAGACAAATAAGGTTGCCCTCCACTGTCAGGCTGCTCAGTTTGTAACAAAATCCCAAATACAGCATCTGGTTGATATCCTCAATGTTGTTCCCCTCCAAGTCCAAAACCTCAAGGTGTTCCAACAAGCTCAGTTGACTTAGGTCAGAGATGTTGTTATAGGCAATGTAGAGTTCCTCAGCAGAAGTAAACAGGAGAGGTAAAGCACAGGTTTGCACAAGTAATAGTCAAGCTTTGCTAAATATTTTCTAGTCTTTGAGATACTACATGATACAGAGAGAGTTTAGCAGATTAGCACGGACAGAACATTTTTCAAGACTGGCCAGTGCCACCTTAAATAAGTAGGGCTAATATAGAAATGAATGTTATGCCGGCAATTGGCATTTTCAATATTAGAACTAAATGCTAAAACCTATTAAAAAATACTATGGCATCTTTTAAACCAACATATTCAGGCTTGATCAAGGCTCTTCAGAAAAACAAGGAGGAGAGAACAAAGATTACAGTTAAAGAGAAGAGCATCCACTAAAGAGAGTCATGTTTCCCAGGCCATGTCTGTACTTACTTTTAGAGAGCTGCAGGAAGAGATCCCATCTAAATCTGCGAGCCCACAGCGAGCCATCCACAGGACATGGAGATGGGACAATGTGGTTCCAAGGTCCCTTATGAAAGAAACAATTCAAGCTCTATTTAAATGGACAAAGACATCTGAGACTTGCTTATTTTCCCAAGACTAGGCCACTGATACTTTTTTCAGATCACATGCTGTTTACAAGAAAAAACGTTATTAAAAATGATCACCTTTAAAGGTGTAGAATAAGAATATAAAACAAACCTCTCTCCCAGACATCTTTGTTCTCATATGGCAAGACATTGTTCCAATTCAGTTTGTTTAAAATTCTTCCAAGAGCTACATCTTGGTAATTCATTCATAAATTTCAGATAAGTACTAAGGATTAAGTGAGGTGCATTTACATTGGCACCTTTTACTCTATACATATAACCCAAATTAGCATACTTGGGCTGACTGCACAGCCATCTTGCTCTTTCTTTTATTGAGACGCCTTTGTTCTCTTCTTGTAGTTAGAAGGAATAACAGTCTTACCAAATTACATTATTTGGATCAGCAACAAAATATAATCTGCTCATCCTATCTTCCCACTATTTAAGTCCATCATAAGAAATCTTTTATTCCAAGTACAGAAAAAGTACAGAGTTCCAAGTACAGAAAAAGATAACACAAAATGCAAAAATGATGGCACATCAAACTGAGGCCTTAACCACTTTCCACCCTTTCTTAAGATTAAATTGCCTAAGACCACTTTTCTACTTAAAAACAAAATAAAATTCTTCATAAAATCCCAAACCTATTACTATAACATAACAAAGAATGAGTATATACTTTAATGCACCTTCTAGGGAAAACTGTAGAAGATAAAAGAATATGGTCATGGGATTCCTCCTGACCTCTGAATACATTTAACAGCCCTTTTGTTCATGCCTTCCCCTCTGGGCCATGGGCCAAGGGAAGACCTTTCACTGCCCTCCGAGGGCATCTGGCAGCTCTGCAGCAGAAGTGATCCACCTCTCCTCCTCTGCAGTTCCTCACCATTGCAGGTGCTGGTACCGCTTTAGGATCACCCCTTCCCTGGCGGCACACTTGCTCCAGTCGAAGCAAGGCCACTAGATATACCATAGGGTGCTTCAGGTGAAGTTTTATAGCCTTCGAAGCACAGACAATCAGGATAGCTGAACTAATGATGCCTCGTGGTCTACAATTGTTATTACTTTCCCCTCTGAGGCTTCATATTTACTACAGGCCCCCCGAGTTGAAGGCATATAAAACCTCAGCCATATGATCCTTCTCTTCCTGCCTAGGGCTATTACATGTTACATGAGTAAGTTCTCAACTGGCTAAGCTGCAACTTCTCCCCTGAATTTTAAGCCTGGCTCTGCAGACATGGGATATAGTTATCTGGTACCGACACAAGATTAAAGTAACCTATGGACACACAGAATTCCCTTCATGTATAAACATAGTTCCTTCTACAAACTTACTGACCAGCCTCTGTGGATATCATCTGCAAGTCAGTCCCTCAAACCCACTGGGCAGTTGGGAACGTTTGCAGTCTGTGACACTGTAGCTGTCACCAGATAAGGCTCTGAAAGACGGCAGCTTGTCACTACGTCCTCCAAGGACTTGTTCAAGTTTGCCTATCCTTGATGACCATAACATCCCTGTATGTCACTGTGTCCAAAGACCTCCTAAAGGACCTTCTAGAGACTCTTCACACTCTACATAGTTCTTAAAGAAAACAAACACTGGAGCTAAGGAACAAATACCTCCCCAAAATAATATTTACCCAAGTTTATTATTAGATTTGCAAGCTGCATGCCTATAAGAAAGAAGTTAAATCAAATAAAAAGAGCAGAATCTACCATCAATCAAGATCAACAAACCCATAAACTTAAATATGATAGTTATGACTAATGTGGAGAAAGCATATTGCTCATTTCATGACTCACTTAGAACACTGATCAGTTGCTCAAATTTCAGGTTAATTTTGGTACAGAATTTTCTTTTCTTTAAGCTACTGGACACAACTATAAAAGCAGTCACTTCAATTTTCATAACACTGAAACAAGTGCTTCTGATAAATGCTCTCTCTATTAAGGCGGCAAAATTGAAGACCTTACCCAATTTCTTTACCATACACTACTGTGGTTGTTGCTGTTGTGTTTTTTTGCTGTTGTGATTTTTTTTGGTTTTGTCTTGTACTTACTAAAATAGTGTGCTTAGCCACAAAAAAGAAAAAAACAGCTTTTGGTAATATGTTACTTTTCACTATTCAAGCTGCAATGAGAACACTCTCAAATTAATTCGTTTCATTCGTGGACAAATTTGATTCCTCTGTGGCCACTTTAGGTGCAAGTCAGGAGAGCAATAAGGACCAGGGGATGATGAACATGCTTTTCTCCCACCCAGTGCAGACTACGGAACATGGGGTGTATGTTACAGTCATGAACAATGTTCTGTCCTTCAGGGTTCATGCTAGTTGCTAGAGGACATAGTTCATTGGCCCTCCTGCTTCCACAAAGAGCAATCTCCAATCAGAGATGTTATTGCTGCAGAGCCCATCTTAGCTTTAACTAAGGAAAGACTCCTGTGGAAGCTGTGAATCGTGATGCAGCATTAGAGAAGATTCTGTTGTTAGTTAGCACTTAGCTCCCCCTGTGAGCGCTGCTAAGGTTGCAAGGTGAAGCAGCAATGGAACTTGAAGGAAGCTGCCCCGACAGGACAACTGCAAGCACTTGCAGTGCTGAAAATGCTTCTGAAATGTTTTGGCTGGCCAAAAGAGAACTTAAGAGCTTGCAAGACATGGGAGTGCCCTGTCTGGGACCAGCTCTGCTGCAGTTGGAATGTATACCTTGGAGGGGTGAGGGCAACGTGAGGCGCTGTACGAGCACGCAGGACCGCTGGGTACGTGCAAGTGTGCACGTGGACATGCTCTTGTTTATGTAAGCAGGGAGGTCACCTCAGCCCAACCTATGGAGATGCATCGAGTGCTGCTGTAGCAAAAAAAATGGAGTTAATGGGAATCTGTGTTCTTAATAATTTATGAGGATAGTAGAAGGAAAAATCCACTACAATTACGAACATAACCCAAAGAGAAAAATATTGACTGAGGCTAAAACTAATAAGACATGTCAGAGACCAACCAGAACTCTCCTGTACTCAGCATGATACAAATGTAGAGAAAATGATAGCATCTATTTCAAAAACAGGGTTGAGAAATGTGATTGAGAGGTTTGAACCAAAGGACATCACAGAGAAAAGAGGTCCCATTAATACAGGCAATGGACAATCCCATTGCTGCTGACAAGTGTCCTACTTCAAGTGACACAGAACCCTGTAACTTTCTAGAAAGTACAAAGAACTGGCAAGGTAATTGTATGACCTCACTTCTGCTGTGGTTCACGCAGGTCAGGTTTGAAGCAAAGAGATGGAGTACTGGTGGGAACGCGCACGTCCTGTCTTTCACCGTGTTGAACCAAGGATTACAGCCTCTGAGGCTGCCAAACCTGTGTCCTCCAGAGCACTTATCTATGCACTGACCTAAGCACTTGCCTGCAGAATACACACTAAACACCAAAATGTATTTCTAACATCCAGAAATCCTCAGAAACCAATGCAATGACACCATAGTTTCATTAATTTTCCATTTTCAGAGGCAGCAAGCTTGAACTCACAAGTTTGCACTTAGAATTGACTTTTATTCATGAAAATGCATAAACAGAGCTGTTTGAAAATAGGCTCTAATTATCTCTGTATACTGCTGCAGGGAAGGGAACTCATCAAACAGTTCTGTTTCTCTAAGTGTCTTGGCAGCATCCTCCTCACTTGCGCACAACCATTTAGGATTTTTTCCCATGAAATCTGATGCTCCCATTTTGTCATCACTCCCCCAAGCCGAAGGGAGAGTGCAGGGGCAGGGAACGGTTTGGCTTACAACACCCAATAACAGTTTGAAAAATAATAACATGTTCTTCCATTAATCCCACATACTTGTTCTTCAGGGATTGATTCGCTTGAGCCAAAATTCTGCTGGAGAGAGACCAGACCTTGGGAGCCAAATTCTGGTCTTGGTGTCACCACAATAAATCTCAAGTAGTTCCATGCAGTTCAACCTACCTAGTAAACACAACAGCATAAGCCTGAACAGAACCAAGCTCTGAACATTCACTCCTTTGAAAACTATTAAGTTCGTCTTGCATCTGTTTTAGAATCATCCACTTGCAAATTAACACCAAATTTGCAGAAATTTGTTGACTAAAACTTCACTAGCAACACTAAAGCAGAGATTAACGCTGAAAGGATTTATTTTTTTAAAGGTCACCCTAAAAATGAATGTGCTGACAAACACAGACACTCAGATTTTAAAAGAGTGGCCAAAGTACTGCTCTGAAACATAAAGAAGAAAATTTCAGCTCTGATCTACAGAGATCAAATTGAATTTATCAAGCTGCACTGTGATAACAGTGATCTGGTCCATATGTCAGTACACAATGGTTTTGTTGTACAGATAAGTCTGACATCAGAAGCAAAAACTTTTCAAGTCTGAATATTATTTAAATCGGTAACATATGTTCCAATAGGAAGCTTGCATAATAGCTTCATTGTGCTCTCAAATAGCTGCAAAGTGCTCAGGACTGTAAAATGAATTGTCTGCATGTGCTGCTTTCACTGCACTGACGCTCTGACACAGCCCCCAAGCCTGCGAGCAGTTCTAAGGCAGAGGCTTTATGTCCCTGCAGCCTCTGGCCTTTTGCAATCCAACAAACCTTGTGTGAATGCAAGGAGCTGACTCGGAGGCTTGCTCTGCAGCACTGCAGCCTCACTTACGTCCTGTTTACACTTCCAAAGTCAATCAGCTGGAGGCTGTAAAGCTCCTGGTGCCGCTCTCCTTTGCCTCGCACCTCACAGAGCTACTCTGGCACTGCGGCTACAGCAGTTGCTGCAGGTGCAAGTGCCAGCCCAAGGTGCAAGGTACCGGGGTCACGTCCTGCCCTGCTGGTGCCAGAAGCTCTCTTTCAGGCTGAAAGGCCATGGAAATCTAACACTTTATAATTTGGCCTCATTCTTCCTTCTGAACTGTACAGT